CTGAAAATCCTACTCCTAAGTACATATTGTACCAAAAAAAATGTACAAACTCTTCATGGTGGCATTATTCTTAATACATCAAAATAAAAAAATCCCAAATGTTCATCAGGTGCAAAATGAATAGACCGAGGTAGAGCCCTATAACGGAATATCTATAACAAGGAAAGAACCACCAACCACTACTACATGCAACAACATAGATGAATCTTACAAAATTCTGAGCAAAGAAGCCAGAAATTAAAAAGTACATACTGCACGATTCCATTTACGTTCAATTCAAAAGCAGGCAAAACTGATCTAGAAGATAGAAGTTAAATACAAGTTACTACCTTTGGGGGAGTGATGACTGGTAGGGAATAAGAAGGAGGCTTGGAGGGCACTGATAATGTTCTACACCTTAATTTAGATGGTGATTACATGGGTATGTTTACTTTGTAAAAATTCACTGCATAGTACGATTATGATTTATGTATATGCTTTTCTATATATATATACTATATTTCAATAGAAAGCTATCAAAAATTACTAATTTAGCCAAATTATACATTTTCTAAAACCAAAAATTAATTTCTGCAATATTAATGCAGAAAAGAGAGGGGGCACACAATTCGGTCCGGGGTAAGGATTATAATTTCCTACACAAGACTCGGAAGGAAATAATCATAATTATAAAAAAGTAAATTGGTCTTCATCAAAATTAAAACTCATCATCAAAAGATACCTTCAGAAAATGAAAGTGGTAAGACACAGGCTGGGAGATAATACCACACATATAACAGACAAAGGACTTACATTCAGAATATAAAAAGAAGTCTCGCAAATCAATAATTCTAAAAAACCCAATTTAAATACTTGAGCAAGCACTACACAAAAGATATGACCAGTAACTATATGAAAAGGTATTCAACATCATTAGTCATTAGGGTAATGCAAATTAAAATCACTATAAAACACAATATACCCACCAGAAAGTCTAATATGAAAAAGACTGATAGTTCCAAATGTTGGCAAGAATGTATGGCAAGCAGAATCCTCACACATTGCTGGTGATAGGATAAAATTGTACAACCACTTTGGAAAATCCTTTGACAGTTTATTATAAAGTTAAAACAAACAGTTCACATGTGACCCAGAAATTCCACTCCCTGAGCACTTATTCAAGTGAAAACACATGCCACACACACAAAGACCAGTAAATAAATGTTCAGGCCGGGTGCAGTGGCTCACACCTGTAATCCCAGCACTTTGGGAGACCAAGGTGGGCGGATCATGAGGTCAGGAGTTTGAGACCAGTGTGGGCAACATACAGAAACCCTGTCATACAAAAAATTAGCCAGGCATGGTGGTGTGCACCTATAATTCCAGCTAGGTGGGAGGCTGAGGCAAGAGAAGTGCTTGAACCCGGGAGGTGGAGGTTGCCATGAGCCAAGATGGCACCACTGCACTCCAACCTGGGTGACAGAATGAGACTCTGTCTCAAAAAAACAAAACAAAACAAAACCAAAAAACAATGCTTAGCTCATAGATTTAATCAGTAGAGTGGTGGGGCAAAAGTCTGGTTACATAAACAAATAGACGCAGAGGTGAGGATACCAAGACAAGTAAGATCAACTATTCTCTCAAAAAGCAAATCAATAAAAGTCATTCACTGGCACAGTAGAAACAGTGAGAGCTGGTAACTACTTATCAAACACTCTGTGAGAGTGGTTTCACATAGACTGCAAGGTGAATTAGGTAACAACTAAATTACCTTATAACTCTACAATTCTGTATACACAAGAACAAATATTAGCAAAAGGAAGAGATTAACGAAGTCAAGAGCATGTACAGCATCTACAAAATCACTTTTGGGAAACAAATATATACATAGTAATTAGTCTGTAGAATAAATTTCAATATACAGTACAGGAAATGACAAATTTCCTGAATATCTACAAAATTCCAAATTTCTACAACCTTTAAATTTTTTAAGAATTACTCGGCTGGGCTCAGTGGCTCACACCTGTAATCCCAGCACTGTGGGAGGCTGAGGTGGACAGATCACCTGAGGTCAGGAGTCCGAGACCAGCCTGGCCAACGTGATGAAACCCCGTCTCTACTAAAAATACAAAAATTAGTGAGGTGTGATGGCGTGTACCTGTAATCCCAGCTACTTGGGAGGCTGAGGCAGGAGAATCCCTTGAACCCAGGAGGCAAAGGTTGCAGTGAGCCGAGATCGTGCCATTGCACTCTAGCCTTGGCGACAAGAGTGAAACTCTGTCTCAAAAAAAAAAAAAAAAAAAAAAAACTATGTAGAACTTACTACATGCCTGACAGTTTTAGGACACCCATGGTGGCTCAAACCTGTAATCCCAGTATTTTGGGAGGCCAAAGTGGGCGGATAATGATGTCTGGAGATCAAGACCATCCTGGCCATGGTGAAATCCCGTCTCTACTAAAACACAAAAAATTAGCCGGGCATACTGGCTTGGGCCTATAGTCCCTCAGCTACTCCCGAGGCTGAGGCAGGGGAATCACTTGAACCCAGGAGGTGGAGGTTGCAGTGAGTCGAGATCGCACCACTGCACTGCACTGCAGCCTGGTGACAGAGCAAGACTCCATCTCAAAAAAAAAAAACAGATACTGACATATAAAGATTCTAAGGAAAACAACCCAAGTGTCCATCAACAGACTGATAAACAAAATGTGATATATACATACACTAGAATATTATTTAGCCTCAAAAATAAAATTCTGATACATCCTACAACATGAATGAACCTTGAAAATACTGAGTGAAATAAGCCACACAAAAAAGGGCAAATATTGTATGATTCACCTTATATGAAAAACATAGAATAGTTAAATTCACAGAAAATAGGATGGAGATTACCAGGATCTGAGGAGGGAAGGGGATGTGGAGATTTATTGTTTAATGAGTACAGTGTTTCTGTTGGGAATGATGAAACACTTCTAGATATGGACAGTGGTGACGGTTACACAACTTTCTAAAGGTACTTACTGTCACTGACTTACACACTTAAAAATGGTAAATTTTATGTATATTTTGCCATAATATATTGTTCTATTAAAATTACTCTAAAAGCACATATCAAGCTGAAATCAAGTTTTTCATATCGTGACTGTATTGTCTCAGGTTGTGGACAAAACTCATCCTCAGCTAAGGTCACCCCAAAATGGGCAAAGTTTTCAGTGAAGAAAGTCCTTTAAGGAAGGAAATAGATTCAAGCAGTAAAAAATCAATTCACTCACCTCAATGATGGATAAGATCTTCAATTGGAAGCCAAAAGAAAGTCACCTTGTTGCAGAATTTTAGAGACTGAAGAGACCATTGAGGTTGCAGAAGGAGTTTACTTTAGGTGTACACTGGCCCAGCTCTACTTGGATTTAAAATGGCTGAGCCCTTAACAAAGACAGGGCTTGACTTTTTATATATGAAGTACACAGTGGCACTAAAACCAGTTTGCAGGTATAAAATGAAGGCAATTTATTCAGCAACGACAGGCATCTAACTTAGGCTTATATATGACTGTTGCTTTGCAACCCAGATGTTCAGTATCTGTAGAGCTCAAGGATTCCAGCACAGGCTTTATTTATTCCCTTCTGCTACAGTGCCCAGAAGGTTGGAGTCCTGCCTCCTTGGGCATTTTTTATGACCTTCACTGTGTTACAGAAACTTACAGTTATTTGTTATAGAAAATAAGAATTCTTATTTATAAAATAAGAATTTATAAACTTATAAAACTTGCAAAGCAGGATACAATTTCACAGGAAGAAAAAGACTCGGGGAAGTTTGCTTATAAAAGAAAAATTAAATTTCTGTTTTTCTTTTCTGCATTAATTTTGTTTTTATATTATGTTGTTTTATTCATTTTTCTCCCTCTTTACCCTGGGGTCATCATGGGGAGAAAGGAAGAGGACTTCAGTAGCCTCATGTAGGGTATTATTTTCTCAGAACCATCAAGTAGTTCTGATCAACAATTATATTGCCTGTTCTTGAAAAAGTCCTGATATATTTGGACAAAAATACCAAATACAACTATGTTTATCCCTTCCAAAGTTGGCACTTACCACTCTCAAAACTAAAGAGTCAAACTAGGATACAGACCTCTCAAGTTGAGAAGGAAAGGATGAGGAGGAGGGACAACATCCATTCTCAGTCAAAATGCCTCCAACTGCTACTTGTTCAAATAAAGTCTGCTTGCTAATCCAACTTCTGTGTGAATTCTTCACGCACTTACAAACTTCCTGCCTTGTAGTTTCAAATATTATACTACTTAACCAGAGCAGTAGTTCTCAAGTGGGAACAATTTTGTCCTAGAAGGAACAATTGGCAACCTCTTGAGACATGTGTAGTTGTTACAACTAAGTCCTACTGTCATCTACTAGGTAGAAGCCAGGGATGTCGTTAACCATCCTACAATAGGCAGGACAACTCCCCCAACAAAGTATTATCTTGCTCAAAATATCATTCATGCCAAAGCTGAAAAAACCTGAACTAGAGGTTTAAAAAGAAGTCTAAGGATTTGACGAGAAAATGGTCAGCTTTTTATTCAAAATACCAGTTTGATTTTTAATTTGTTAATTAAAGTCCATTAATCCTTAAGGATATTTCTAATGTTTTCTTACTACTTCCCTATATTGGACTGGGTGCAGTGGATCATGCCTGTAATCCCAGTCCTTTGAGAGGCCAAAGCAGGTGGATCACTTGAGGTCAGGAGTTTGAGACCAGCCTGGCTAACATGGTGAAACCCTGTCTCTACTCAAAATACAAAAATTAGCCGGGCATGGTGGTGCATGCCTGTAATCCCAGCTACTTGGGAGGCTGAGACAGGAGAATCTTTTGAACCCAGAAGCCAGAGGTTGCAGTGAGCCGAGATTGCATCACTGCACTCCAGCCTGGGCAACAGAGCAAGCCTCTATCTCAAACAAACAAACAATTATATGAGGTTTAAAAAGCCACTGAAAAAGTTACATAAGCCAGGTGCAATAGCTCATACCTGTAATTCCAGCACTTCAGGAGGCTGAAGATGGAGTATCACTTGTAGCCAGGAGTTCAAAACCAGCGTGAGCAGCATAGCCAGACCCCCGTTTCTACAAAAAAAATTTTAAAAATTAGCCAGGCATGGTGGCATGCACTCACAGATCCAGCCACTAGGGAAGACAATTTGAAATCAAGAGTTTAAGGCTGAAGTGAGCTATAATTGCATCACCGCACTCTAGCTTGGGACACAGAGTGAGACCCTCTCTCTCAAAATAATAATAATGTATGATTCCATTTATTTGGCATTCTGATAAAGGCAAAACTGGGAAGAAAGAAACAGATTAACAGCTGCCAGCAATTGAGAATGGAAGAAGTGGTTTACTACAAAGTAAAGGTGAATTTTCGGGGAGTAATTAAACTTTTATAATTTGATTATGGTGGTGGTAGTGGCTACATGGCTACTTTCATTTGTCGAAACTCTCAGAATTTGTACTAAAAAAAGTGAATTTTACTATACGAAAATTATTAGTTGATTTCATTCAAAGACTGGCCAAAAGTAAAATAACGATATTATTTTTAGACAAAGTTAGACTTCGAACAAGGAATATTATCAGAAGAGCAATATTACAAAAAGGCAAAAAGGTCAATTTAACAAGAAATCAAACAACTCTAAATATATATGCATCAAACAACAGATCTTCAAAATACACAAATCAAAATTTGATATAACTGAAAATAGAAAAACCAATCCACAATTATATTTGCATACTTCAACACTCCTCTATCACCCTCCCAATATCTACATCAGTAAGAATATGAATATCTGTAACCATCAAGTATACAGAACACTATCAACCAACTTGATCTAATATACATTTCCAGAATACTACCTTCAACAAAAGCAGAACACACATTCTTTCTGAGTGCACATGGAACATTAACACAAGCCATATTGCGGGTTATAAAACAAACCATATAAAGTATGTTCTCTACCCACAATAGAATTAAACTAGAAACCAACAGCAAAAAGATACCTGGAACTCCAGAGCAGTTTTTCCAGAAGCAGAAAATTAGTACTCACTTTTGTAATCATCAAACCCCATTTAAATAAATTTCCAGATCGAACCAATCTCCTAATATCTAATAACACTATTAAATAAAAGCTAAATGTAACAGAACATATAGGGTATTACTTCTTTTCCCAACACTTATTTTGAAACAATATATAAATTGCAAAAAAAGAATCGACAAAAGAGAGAGAAATGTGGCCAGGCACGGGAGCTCACTCCTGTAATCTCAGCACTTTGCGAGGCCAAGGAGGGGAGATACCTGAGGTCAGGAGTTCGAGACCAGCCTGGCCAACATGGTAAAACCCCATCTCTACAGACATATAAAAGCTAGCCAGGAACAGTGGCATGCAACTGTAATCCCAGCTGCTCAGGAGACTGAGGCAGAATTGCTTGAGCCCCAGAGGCAGAGGCTGCAATGAGCTGAGATGGTACAACTGTACTCCAGCTTGGGGGACAGAGTAAGACTACATCTCCAGGAGCAGGGGAAGATGGCACTATAGGAGCAACTCAGGATTGCAGCTCTCAGTGAAGGCGCAGAGGGTGAGTGCACGGCACATTTCCAGACGAATCTTTGTTGCCCACAGAACAGGGAAATTCCCAGGTGTAGGAGAGACACAGGATGCCAGCGCAGCTGTTTCAGCCAGAGCCACAGTGCAGCGGCACTCCGCACAAAACGCACTGGTCTGGGTGCCCTGTTAAACAGGCAGTTTGAGATTTGGGAGGGCAGATTAGCATATTCATCTGATTAAACGGGACTTGGACAGTGAGCCAGGCCAGGAGATTCCCGGGAAGCGACGTTTGAGCTGGCGCACTGGGTCGCTGCATGGGAAATCACACGAATCCCAGTGCCCTTTCAGCAGGCGACTGAAACACCTGGGAGAGAGTCAACCATTCAACTTAAAAAAACAAAAACAAAAAAAGGGCTCTGAGGCAGGGAGCCAGGTGAACAGGCTCGGCGGGTCTCACCCCCACAGGAACAAACAAAACGGTGATTCGAAACGCTCAGGGCTGAGAGTTTCATGGCGGGCACAGCTGAACCCAGGATGGTGCAGCTCAGTGGGGGTGGGGCGTCCGCCATTACCGGGGCATTCCACCCCTACTGAGGTACTCCCCCATTGCTGACGCAGCCTGAGGTTGCCAAGGCAACCCCCCATAACAGAGAGAGTCTGCCAATACAGAGGCAGGCCACCATCACCACAGCAGTTCTAACCACACCCATATAAACAGGACTACAGGAAATTACACTCGGCAGCAGGGCAGAGCCCACAGTAACAGCGTGGAGCCCACAACACCAGGGCGAAGCCCACGGCAACAGGGCAAAGACCACAGCAGCAGGGCAGAGTCCTGCAGGCAAATAGTGACTAGACTGCCTCCTAGCTGGGCAGGACAGTGCAAGGGATACTCACAAATACAGCCCTAACTCCCCGAGACAGAGCATCTGAGGGAAAAAAGGGGTTTTATGAGTTCTGCTGCAGCAGACTTAAACGTCCCTCCCTAGCAGCCCTGAATGAACAACGAAGCTCACAGTTCCGCACTTGAGCTCCTATAAAGTACAGACCATCTCCTCAAGCAGCTCCCTGACACCCATATATCCAAAGAGTCACCTCAAAAAGGAATGATCAGACAGACATTTGGCGGGCATCATTCTGGGACAAAGATAGAAGAAGAAGAAACGGGTAGCAACCCTCATGGTTCCGCAGCTGCTACAGGAGTTCCCAGGCAAGCAGGGCCTGGAGTGGACCTCAGCAGTCTTATAGCAGAGGGGCTACACTGTCAAAAGGAAAACTAAGAAACAGAAACACTTTATCATCAACAATCAGGGTGCCCACTAAGAGACCCAATCGAAAAGTCAGCAAGTACTCAGAGGACAGATGGATAAATCCACAAAGATAGGAAGAAACCAGTGCAAAAAGGAGGAAAACACCTGAAACCAAAAACCTCGCCTCCTACAAAGGACCAAAACTCCTCACCAGCAAGGGAACAAAGCTGGACGGAGAATGAGGGTGATGAAATGACGGAATCAGACTTCAGAAGGTGGATAATGAGAAACTTCCGTGAGCTAAAAGAACATGTTCTAAATCAATAAAAAGAAACTAAGAACGTTGAAATAAAATTTGAAAAAAGATGTGACTAAATGATAACAAGAATTAACAACTTAAAGAGGAATATGAAGGAATTGAAGGAGCTAAAACACAGAACACGAGAACACCGCAAAGCATGCACAAGTCTCAACAACCAATTGACCAAGCAGAAGAAAAGATATCAGAAGTCGAAGATCAACTCAATGAAATAAAACGAGAAGGCAAGGTTAGAGAAAAAAGAGTAAAAAGGAACAAACAAAGTCTCCAAGAAATGTGGGACTATGTGAAGAGACCTAATCTACGTTTGATAGGTGAACCAGAATGTGAGGAAGAGAATGAATACAAGCTGGAAAATACTCTTCAGGATATTATTCAGGAAAATTTCCCCCACCTAGCAAGACAGGCCAACACTCAAATGCAGGAAATACAGACAACACCACAAAGATATTCCACAAGAAGAGCAACCCCAAGGCACATAATCGTCAGATTCACCAGGGTTGAAATGAAGGAGAAAATGCTGAGGGCAGCCAGAAAGAAAGGTCAGGTCACCCACAAAGGGAAGCCTATCAGACTCACAGCAGATCTCTTGGCAGAAACACTACAAGCCAGAAGAGAGTGGGAGCCAATACTCAACATCCTTAAAGAAAAGAACTTTCAACCCAGAATTTCATATCCAGCCAAACTGAGCTTCACAAGTGAAGGAAAAATAAAATCCTTTGTGAACAAGCAAGTACTCAGAGATTTTGTCATGACCGGGCCTGTTTTACAAGAGCTCCTGAAAGAGGCACTACAAATAGAAAGGAACAACCAGTACCAGCCATTCTAAAAACATACCAAATGCTAAAGAGCATCAACAAAATGAAGAATCTGCATCAACTAATGGGCAAAACAGCCAGCAAGCATCAAAATGGCAGGATCAAATTCATACATAACAATATTAACTCTAAATGTAAATGGGCTAAATGTACCAATCAAAAGACACAGACTGGCAAATTGGATAAAAATCCAAAACCCATCGGTGTGCTGTATCCAGGAAACCCATCTCACATGCAAGGATAAACAAAGGCTCAAAATATAGAAATGGAGGAAGATTTACGAAGCAAATGGAGAGCAAAAAAAAGCAGGAGTTGCAATTCTCATCTCTGATAAAATAGACTTTAGGCCAGGCATGGTGGCTCAAGCCTGTAATCCCAGCACTTTGGGAGGCTGAGGTGGGTGGATCACGAGGTCAAGAGATCGAGACCATCCTGGTCAACTTGGTGAAACCCCGTCTCTACTAAAAATACAAAAAATTAGCTGGGCATGGCAACTCGTGCCTGTATTCCAAGCTACTCAGGAGGCTGAGGCAGGAGCATTGCCTGAACCCAGGAGGCGGAGGGTGCGGTGAGCCGAGATCACACCATTGCACTTCAGCCTGGGTAACTAGAGCGAAACTCCATCTCAAATAATAAAAATAGACTTTAAAGCAACAAAGATCAAAAGAGACAACGAAGGACATTACATAATGGTAAAAGGATCAGAGCAGAAAGAAGAGCTAACGATCCTAAATATATATGGACCCAATACAGACGCACCGAGATATATAAGGAAAGTTCTTAACGACTTAAAAAGAGACTTAGACTCCCACACAATAATAGTGGGAGACTTTAACACTCCACTGTCAATATTAGACAGATCAACCAGACAGAAAATTAACAAGGATATACAGGACTTGAACTCAGACCTGGAACAAGCAAACCTGATGGACATTTACAGAACTCTCCACCCCAAATCCACAGAGTATACATTCTTCTGAATACCACATCACACGTACTCTAAAATTGATGACATAAACGGATGTAAAGCACTCCTTAGCTAATGCAAAACAACTGAAATCATAACAAACAGTCTCTCAGACCATAATGCAATCAAGTTAGAACTCAGAATTCAGAACCTAACTCAGTACCACACAGCTTCATA